CGTTTGAGCTCAGGAGCTCTGAGCTGCAGCGGACTATGTCGATCGGGTGTCCACACTAAGTTCGGTATCGATATGGTGCTCCTGGGGGAGCCCGGGACCACCAGGTCGTCTAAAGAGGGGTGCACCGGCCCAGGTCGGAAACGGAGCAGGTCAAAGCCCCCGTGCCGCTCAGTAGTGGGATCGCGCCTGTGAATAGACGTTGGAGTGCAGCCTGAGTAATACAGCGAGACCCAGTCTTTTGACACTCTGCATACTGACAAACAAACACACGGTCAACAACAACAGTGTCTACATGTTACAACAGCGTCAGCAGCACTGCTTCTGCTGCTTCTTGTTTCCATCTAAACCTGCACAAAGCTGCTGTGTTTGTTTGTCCTACAGCGCCTCCACCTGGTGGAGAGGAGCAATGACCATCAGTCAATCACACAGAACACATCCTCTAAAATAACAGAGTTTTTCATTTGATGAAAGAAGTTCATGGAGAGGTTAAAATCCACCATGAATGACCATCACACACAAGAACTGTATACTTCTAAAGTAGAAGGAAACTCTTGCCCTTCATCCACTCCACAAATGGAGGTCGGTGCTCTGAGAATTACTTGAGAAATACAAAAAATAATTCAGTGGATACCTTCTTCAAGACAGGAAACAAGTTGTCTACTTCTGTTTTTTTTATCTGGAGGTTTTAAAAAAATTAGACCTTATGAGTAAATAAACAAACTGAGAATTATTCTTGACTTGTCAAGAAAAAAGTTGTGGACCATCCAAAGCAAATGATATCTATATCACATTCACATCCAAAAACCTTTGGTTTCTTGAACTGGTGGTCTGACTCTTAGAACTAGAGGCAGCTCTGTCACATCTTGCCAAAGTCAGAGACCACAAAACATAACTGAGTCCTCTCCCACCCTGAAACATTGTTTATGAGGCTGACAGCAGAGGGGAAGAAACTGTTCTTGTGGTGTGAGGCTTTGGTCTTGATGGACTGCAGCCTCTGCAGGGGAAAATGCAAGCGATGTGATGTAGTTCTCAGATGAAGAAAGGTTGGTATAACGTCACAGTCAGATCGTTGCAGTTTCAAAGTGACTTTCTTTGTGACTTTATATGTGCGGGTAGGCTCTGTGAAGATAAACTGAGGTAACCAGATGTTTTAAGAACAGCCAAACCAAAATGTGACCAGGATGCTGACATCATGTAAGAATACGTAATGGATTTGTTAATATACACCGTTCAGGTGGCGCATGCTGTAAAGCAGGACATAGTACTGTTTGTTAACTTTGTTTTAGTGAGATCTCATGCGATCATGCATACATTTTATTTTATTTTCTCGCAAGTGGCGTGTATAGTTCCCATTATACAATCATAAGTGGCCGTGGACATTTACATCTGAAAAGCAAGGCAATAGAAATGTTCAGGTAGCTTTTCTAAGATCAACCCAGCAGTCTCCTGTCATGTGAATCAACCAGTGACTCAATGTTTGTTTTGAAATAGATCGTCACTGTTTCAAAGTATTTATTTGTCAAAATGGGTAGTGGTGTAGAGGTCTGTTATGTTGTGGTCAGTAAGACCATAGCCTTGAGAAAAAACCTTTATAGGCCTATGTGCGGGTATTTGAAGATTAACCGAGGTAACCAGTTGATGTAGAAGCAGCCAAACTAAATTGTGACCAGGAGTCTGACATCATAAACGAATACGTAATGGATTTGGTAAAGTGTCACTGTTCAGGTGGCGCATGCTGTAAGGCAGGACACAGGGTGTTCATTTTGTTTTAGTGAGGTCGAATCCAGCCCGGCGCGATCGTGAACATGGATTATATTTTCTTTATTTTGTATTTTTCTTAGGTGGCTGGGATGTAGTGCTCACTCATACAATCATATTTACCGCAGTAGATATGAGTTGCGACTTGGAATCAGTTAAATTATAACCTTAATCATTCTGGCATTCAGAGAGTCTAACCTGGATATGAGGAAGGACTTCAGGTCCCACCAGGGCCACACAGAATGACATGTGAGCCCACATGGAGTCCTGGGTGATGTGGGTTCACTCCGAGCGCTTCAGTTTCCTAAAACAGAAACAAGTCATTTGAAAAATAATCACAATAAAAAATGACAATACATTTGAAGAAAGAACCATCTCTGTTTTAATACATTTCTTCAGATTATTTCTAATATGTATTTGTGTCTTCATTTCATTTCTGTTCTGACTCTGTCCATGGTTCTGGTGTCTGTTCTCTATCACTTGCATTGTTTCTGTTTTTTATCATCACTTTATAAAGTAAACGCTGGGAAATGTCATGATATTTTATGGTCCAAACCACAAATGAATTAAAGATAATAATAAAACAGGAATGTTCATGAATTTCATTGAAGGGGACAAACAAACAAACAAAAAGGCAAACAGACATGAAGACAACACCTCACACTTTGTCCATCATGACTTGTTGATCAGTGTACATAAAAACAAACAATTCAGGTGGAAGCCTTTAAAAAAAGTAAGTATTGCACTATGGTAATAAGTAGATGGAAATTTGGTATTTAAGCTGAAATGAACTGTATTTTAGTCCTTTGGTGGACTTTTCTAGTCCCAGTAACCCTTTAACCTTAATCACATGCTTTTCATGAACTTTTGAATCCAAGTGTCAGATTCTTAAATGTCATTTTTATGGCTGTGTACTGCTGCTGACCTCTAGTGGTCAAAGACAGAACTGTCTGAGAGTCTCAACTTCTTTCTTCTTGTTTCTTCGGGGTCCTGCTCAGGTGTGGGAGGATTTCGGGGAGGCTATAGAGAAGGACTTTCGGATCACCTCAAGGAAGTTCTGGCAAACTGTTCTCCGGCTCAGGAAGGGAAAGCAGGGCTTGCCCTGGGCTGTTATCAACAGGGATAGAGAACTGCTGACCCGGACTTGGGACATCGTGGGGTGGTGGAAGGAATACTTTGAGGAACTCCTGAACCCAACCAACACACCCTCTGAAGGGGAGGCAGAGTCTGAAGATCTGGGGTGAACCTTACCACTAACCTTAGCAGAGGTCACTGAGAAAGCGCCTCAGTGGCACCAGGTGTGGGTGAGAGTTTCCCTAAGATGCTAAAGGTTCTGGACATTGTTAGGCTGTCTTGGCTGATGCGTCTCTTCAATGTCACGTTGAGGTCTGGGACAATGCCTGTGGGGTGGCAGATCCCATTTATAGAAAGGGGGACCGAGGTTGTGCTCTATTTATCAGGGAATCGCACTTCTCAGCCTCCTGGGGAAAGCCTTGAAGCAGACTTATGACTGTGTTGCTCGGGGGGTCGTGTGGGGACACTGCATGAATATGAGGTCCCGGTTTGGTATTTTTCAAACTTTGGTATGACCAAAGTGGGAGCTGTGTCTGCATCCTGGACACAAAGTCAGACATGTTGCCTGTGTGTGTTGGCCTTTACCAGGGTCTCCCCTTGTCACCAATTATTTCTGTGATTTTCATGGACTGGATCACAAGTTGTAGCCGGGGGGAGGACGGTTCTCAACATATCCTCTCTTCTTTTTGCAGAAGATGTGGTTGTGTTTGCTTTTTCATGCTGGGACCTCCACAAGGCATTGGGGCAGTTTGAAGCGGCTGGGATGAGGTTCAGCACCTCAGGGTCTAAGGATGTGGTTCTCTGTTGGAAAAAGTGGATCGCTTCCTCCAGGTGGGGAGTGATTATTTGCCCCCAAGTGAAGGAGTTTAAGTGTGTCAGTGTTGTTCAAGAGTGAGGGTAAGATGGACCGTGAGATTGACAGACGGATTGACTCAGTGTATATGGGGGCATTGTACCGAACTGATGTAGTGAAGAGGGAACTGAGACTCAAGGGAGAGCTCTCGATTTACCGATCTTCATTCCAACCCTCTGTGGTCACGCCATAGACTGTAAAAAGATGCATTATGGGTAGTCACTGAAAAAGTGGCTGGTACTCCTTCACATCTAAAGGAGACAGTTGAGGTGATTCGGGCGTCTGATTGGGTCTCCTGGACGCCTTTCTGTGGAGGTTTTTACGGGCATGCCCGACCGGGAGAACCCCCTGGGGTAGACCCAGAGCTCACTGGAGGGATATCCTGTCAGTCCTGGGAACGCCTCAGAATCCCCCAGGAGGAGCTGGAAAATGTTGAAGGGGAGAAGGAAGTCTGGGTTTTGTTTTTTATTGTTACTGTATGCTTTTCTGCGTCTTAACTATGTTTTGTTTAGTTGTTTTTTAATTTGGTAATATTTTAGCATTATTTAGGTGGAGGCTTCAAATAAGCTCATTGAGTTTTCTGCCTCTTCCTGCACTAAATGTTGTCTATTTTGTTATTTGTTTTTTTCCCTTACTGTGCAAATAAATAAATAAATAAAAAGAAAAATGATAAAAATGTACTTCGCCTGTTGCCACAGCGACCCGACCTCGATAAGGAATAAAATGTAGATAGATGGATGGATGGGTGATTTTTTTTATATGTGCGCTGATATGAAAACAAAACATTTGACAAAATATTTAATGGAGAAACCGCCATTAGGATCATTTAGATATGGTGTCATCATGAAAGCTGTCCAGCAGAGGGCGCTCCTGATCCACAGTGAACAATACTGTACTTTCTTTTTTTTTCTCCCTCTATAACCCTTATTAATCTGTGTTGCTCAATTGAATTTAAGTCTTACTTTTTTATATATTTAATCTCTAAAGTGTTTTATGTTTTTATGTAGGACACAAAGGAGAGAAAGGTTTGATGAAAGGTGAGATTGATGATTTGACAGAGTTCAGTATTCAGAGTTCTTCCTCCAGGTGATATATTCAGTATAAAACACAGAGCTTTACTTCAGAAACAGAACTGAGCCTTTGACCTTTGACCTCAGAGTTCTTACTGTCCTTTAACTTACAAATATTTGAACTCTTAGGTCAGAGTGTTGAAGTTAAAATAACACACTCAAACAGTTCTGTTTTTGGCCACCAGAGGACAGCAGAGCACAGATATTCAATAGTTTGATGTTATTGTTCAAGAATCAGACACTGATTAAGTCAAATCTTTTTATTTATTCCTTTTTACAATAGTAACAAGAAATGCAAGAGAAACTTGATGGTGAGAGAGCCGATGGAACGCTGTTGAAAGTGTTTGTGTCCAATCATCGTCTCAGAAAAACAAAACGAGACTAGATAAGAAAATAGATATAAATATCAATATAAACACATATATACATATAAACAGATATTAACAAAGTGTGTCAGGATCCAGCAGCTGGACCAGAACAGGATCCTGAACCGTCTCATCCTGAGGAGAAAAGAGATTTAGTTTAAATCAAACATTTAGTCAATCTGTAAAAACAGGACAGAGTTGATCAGTCAGTCAGAGAACATTTGATCAAAGCTCTGCTGGCTCACCTTCGACTCTTTGGAGTCATCTGACATCAGACTCTGCTGAGATGATTGTCCTGAATTCATACCCTCCTGTACAGGAAACATTAATAAGAGAGACTTTAATAAATCATTGAACATAAAACAGATTGAAAGTAAAGAGAGTTTAAAACATACCTGGTAGTAGAGTACTGCTGCTATGACTTCTGGAATAAGACATTAGAAATAAAAATCAAATAAATGATGAGACAGACAATAATATCTATAAAATAAACATGATCATGTTTCATTGTCACAGTGGAGACCTTACCTGAGATTATAAGTCTTATTATCCACCATGCGAGATAACAAACTAAAAGTACAGAGAATAAAGACATCACAACAACGGAGTTAATCAGTACAGTCCTGTGTAACAGTCCTCCACACTGAGCGTCCTCTGTCTCAGTTCCTGCTCTCAGCAGCTCTCGACCCTTTGATTCACATCTGTAATGATAGAGGGACAGTTATTACAGGAACATCTGGAGAGTCCATGTGTGATGTGAAGCTTCACTCACTGTGTGTGATTCTGACAAGATGGAAACGTCCCGTTTGAAAATGTTCCATCAGAGCAGATCGAGCAGACGGTGTCTGTGGAGGAAGTTCCTGCAGGAAATACAGAACACATGAGACTATTTCACAGAGGTTGTTTTAGACATGAACACAGTCCCTCTACCACCGTCCACCATACGTGTTAATGAAGAGTTCTTCAGATGTCAGCTAACAGGAGGAGTTAACAAACTGGTGGAGGTTGTGTTTTCATCACGTCTTTGTACGTTCTTATTGATTCCATGACGGGGTAAGAATGGCGTCCCAGTCTGTGAGTTCACATTGAACTCAAACTGTCTGTGTGTGATGAAGTGAAATGTGTTTAACTAACCGTGTTCTGTGATGTATTCTCCTGGTTTACAGCATCTGTGTTTCCTTGCTTCCACACAGTCGTCCTTTCTAGAGTCTGAGCAGTAAAATCCTTCCAGAGGTTCACAAACTGTGTCTGATACTATCGTACACGACGTCTTCATCTTCAGACCAGAACCTGTCGACACAAACACAGAGGTTATTTATGAACTACTGTACTTCTGCTCTACTGAAGAACAGTTTGGTGTAAGGAAATAACAAGTATTCAGACGATCATCTCTGTGTTTGAGGCTCAAACTCAAACTAACTGAAGGTTAGAAAGCTGGTTTTAGAGTGAAGACTGTTTAGTAACATGTTCTGATCTTTATTTAGTTTGATAATAATGTCAGAGATCTACCTTCATCACAGCTTTTACAGTTGTAGCAGACTGGACGAGAAGTCAGATGGTCCATAAAGGTTCCTTCAGGGCAGGGCTTACAGAGAGTACTTCTGACTCTCCTGTTTGAAACAACAACAAGACATAGAGTGGGCGAAAAAAGGAGGAACAGGAAGACGGTAAGTGGAACAGAGGACGATAATATATAATGAATATGTTTAAAGGTAATTGTAAAGGTAAATGTTCTTTAAATGTATATGTTGAAAACAATACAAATATTAAACAGCTTTTGCATGTTTTTAGTTAGTCACAGGTTATTTATTTAAAATAGGGACATTGAAACTAACCTGATAAACTTTAATTAAAGATTCTTTAACATTCATGAGGATCTTACCAGCTGGACACATAGGACAGCATCCACCAGATGTCTCATAACTGTATGGACCACATGTCAGAGTTTGACCTGTGGAGACGTTCATCAGGAGACTCTGTGAAGAGAAAGAGAAATGTTCTCACTGAAGACAAAGTGAGACATGAATACAGAGAGAAATCTAAAATCATCATCCAGTCCATGAAGAGAGAAGGGGGAAAGAGTTCAAATCTTCACATCTGAAGTTTGTCTGTTTGTGTGAAGAAGAATCATTCACAACAAATATTTACACAGATAGAAATGCTGAAGAGGAGAAATCTAAAACCTGAATCAGTGCTCAGATAATTCAATAAGATCATTTACCAGAAACACTGCAGCTGATCCAGGTCTCATTCTCTCTGTAACAGAAGACCAGCACAGATTCCTCATCTGTTTGAACCAACGCAGATTTAAGACCAAGAGAAATGTAACTCCAAACCAGGACAGGTAACACACTCCCAGAGAAAAGTGTTTTCAGCTTCCTGCAGTCAGAGAGAGATCACCATCTTCATCATCATCATCATCATCTTCATGACAGACGCAGATTGTTCACCAGGTGTAAATAGTCTCAGACATAAATGGAAATTAAATAAAGTTAATTATGAACTGGATCTTACCATGTGGACACACAGCACAGCATCCACCAGGTGTCTCATACTCGTATGGACCACATGTCAGAGTTTGACCTGTGGAGACGTTCAGCAGGAGAATCTGTGATGAGAAATAGAAATGTTCTCACTGAAGACAAAGTGTACATGAATACTACCTGATGATGATAAATCTGTTTAATATTTCACAGAGTAAAAACAGTGTGAAGTCCAAACCATGATACGATATTATCAGGATACTGGTCACGATACGATATTATCAGGATACTGGAGTCACGATACGATATTATCAGGATACTTGAGTCAGGATACGATATTATCAGGATACTGGAGTCAAGTGTACAGTGTATTAAAAAGCAACTGATTTTTGCAAAAGGACCCTCTCCTTAATCAAAAGGTCGAACTACAAAGTTATTTATCCCCATTGAATAATGGGAATGGTTTAAATATGATGTTAGAAAAATTGGCATTCAATGAATACAGAGGGATACCTATTTACCTTTGAAGAATTTACAAACAAATGATCTAAAGTAACATGTCATATTCTCTGTGTGTACCTTTCTTGCCTTGTTTAAAAGTTGGTGAAGTTGATTGTTTGATAGACGGTGAAAGTCTTTAAACAGAAAACAAGAGACCTTGAGAAAATTGTGTTTTCTTTTTAATCTGTCATGTCCAGTTACTCCTACGCTCAAAGAAACACATTTTAAAGTTGCATGTACAATCGACCCAGTTTGTGATTTTTTTACACAAAAGGCTCCATTTTGAAGTAGATGCCTGTGCTTTTTGCTCCTCAGAGGTAGGAACCTTGGAACATTTACTTGTTGACTGCTCATACAGTAAAACATTTTGGGCTGATATCCACAGCTGGTTGTCTTTAAAGATTGATAACATTCCTACATTTTCTGACAAAGATATCCTCTATTATATTCAGACATTGTTAACCTTGTTATAATTTTGGGTAAATTTATACTAATTTATAAAATATATGGAAAATAGAATAGAAAGGCCAAAAAACTTGATTTGGATATATCT